TTTTTTATACTTCAAATATTATTATAAAGAAAATCGGTTCATAAATATGATACAAGAAAGACAATTGTGTCAATTTTAAGTTCCCCATATATTTTTGGATAAATGTTTTATTATGAAGTATCTTTCAGTTCAAAAAATATTCTTGAATCTGCTCTAAAATTTGATCCTTAGCTCATATTATGAATCCTTCCAAAATATGTGCTTGAGATCCACTGCAAAATTATGGAGATATAAACAGACAAAAAATGTTGTGTATATATAGCATCCATCCAACTTAGTTGGTAGAGTTAATAAGCTAGTCTTTTAATATTGGCTATATCTGTTGATAAGAGAGCTAATATCAACACAGATTGGCTGCCAAGATGTATCACTCAAATAATAGGACAATTTGCTAGGTCTGTTGCTAGGAAAGTTGGTTCACTGTGTTGTACGAGACAATTTTTCTCACCAGAATCTATCTTACATATTTATAAGTCTACCATTCATCCATGCCTTGAATATTGCTACTATATCTGGTCTGGTGCTTCTGCTATATATTCTTGATAAAATACAAAGAAGAATCAGCAATGTTACTGCTCCTGACCTAGCATCTCAGTTTCAATCATTTTCCCACTACTATAATGTAGCTTCCTTGTACCTTTTCTTTAAACATTTTCATTGTAATTCTTCTGAGGAACCTTCCTCTATGATACCTTTATGAATTTAAGTACTGTACAAGATTGATGGCAAGGTCTCATCATCTTAGAGTGGGAATGGTAAATGTAAGATCTATGTTAACAGTTTCTTCTCTCATACTTCTTGCTTGTGAAACTCTGTTCTGGGATCCTTGCTTCCCAGTTAACTTTGACCTTCAAAAATTTAATTACAATGTCAACTGTTATCTTCTGAATTCCTGTTCTTTTATTGTTCTCTCTCCTTAATAGTGTTTTTTTCTTCTCTCATATTCTCTCACACTCAGTAACCCCCATCTTAGTGGCTTTATTACCTTGCTTAGGAGGAAATGATTTTTTAAAATTATCATCAAATATAAAGAGAATATTAGAAAAATATCAGGATGCAAACATTGTCATATCCGATTTCCATAGAAATTCATTTATCTAATTTTTAGGCATCAGGATTCTGAGTTACCAGACTCATGCAGAATTGTTTTGAGGATAAATGTTTGTAATTTTTATTGTGGCTGGTCTCAGGTGGCACTGTAGATAATACTTGTTTATTAAAAAACTTTTGTCATTGTGGGCATTCTCTGCAGATCACTGTCTATTGTCTCTAATTAAAAGATGAATAAAAGTTTAAATTATAAGTAGAAAAAGAAAGCTGAGAGAAGAAAGCAAAGTTGAAAGAAAAGAAATGAAAGGAAATGGAAATGAAAAAGATTCTGAGCAGGAAGAAAAATCAAAGAAAGGGAAGAAAAAAAAGAATTAAATAATGGACTCTCAAAAAAGAAAACAGGAAAAGAATGAGAAATAAAAGAATAAGAAAGTAAAAACTGAGGAAAAGAAAAATGACATGAAAATCATTCATCAGCCTAATTCTGTTGTTTCATAAAAGTTAATTTTAGCAATCTAATTAATAATAATTTAATTTAATAATTAACTTAGAAATCATCAGGAGGCAGCCATTCTAAATATTTGAAACCGTTTTAAAAAAGGAAAAATTTTAATTATATATTTTTAACAAACAAAACTCGTTTCTAATTAATTTAAAATTTCATTCCATAATCAGGGAATATAAATTCTAAAAGAATTGTGTTGAATCTTTAGACAGAATCTTATATTGTATCACAAGAAAAAAGAAAATATTCCTATACAGAATAATCTTCTCAGATGCAGCATATGAAAATGATGACAACATCATAAAGATTTCATGTTATGTCATTTTAAATTGTAATATTAACCAAAATATATTTTAGATCTTCATGTTTAATAAAGAGACCAAGGTCAATCTGAATACTCAAAACTTAATCCAGATGTCTGAATCTGAGGAAATAATACAGGAAACAAATAACTAAGATTATCCATTGGCTCATGGCAGTATCTTCTCATTCTTTCCCTTATCCCTCCTAATCGTTATTGCTTATTCAACTTGTTATTTAAATGTTACATAAACATGGACTAATTTCATGTGTAAAAAAAGGAATAAGGAATGCACAAATATTTTCCCATTTTTATTTATTTTTTTTATCTTGTTGTGAAGAATTTTTAACGTTTTCCAATTTTTATATCCTTTCATCGTTGTTGGCCTTTTAAATCTTTTGCACATTAGCTCTTGATACCCAACCTGCTTCACTGTTTTTTTCATCTCTATATATTTATTTTTCTTTTTTTCTGTTTTTCCCTCTCCCCGGCTCTCTTTTATATATATATATATATATATATATATATATATATATAATGTACCTCCTCAAAAAAGTCATGATAGCTAAAGTTAAATCATTTTTTAAAAACAAGAATCTTTCTTGAAGCTTTCGCCTTAACTTTAATTGAAAGCTAAATGATTAAGTTTACTATTTCCAATAAGCAAGATACACAAGTTAGTTCTTGGTTTTATAATAATAATAATAACATAATTTTTTATAATTTTTAAGTACTTAGTAGTCGGAAAAATTTTGGAAAATATTCCCTGTAAATCTAATGTTAATAGAAGAACACTTCATTATGGTGTAATGGTTAACATGCTGTCAGAAATACATGAAAATGGAAATAGATCTAAGAATACACAGGGGTCATTAAAACATTAAAAGATAAGATACTGGTAAGTAATTCATCATTTCTCTCAGACCAATCTTAATTGTTTTATAACCCTTCACTCAGAACTCTTCACTGCCAATTCAAGAAAGACATTCATATTACTAACATAAAAACAGAGAATGTCTCATATTGAGAATATTTGACATCAAAAAACATAAAGGAAAACAATTAATTATTTTTAATAACATGTGAAAATCTCTGCCCGTTACTTGAAGACGGCCGTGAGACCAGAAACACATGTAGTAAAATTATGGAAAATAAAGTATAATATTTAAAAAAAAACTCCACATTACAACCAAATCGTTTTCAGTACCTCTCTTCTTTTTAATATATATCTCATAATCATGACTCCTGTGAGCCACCAGGGTTGTAGGGGCACTGCATGTATGGCAGCCGCAGGTGGGTTTGAATTCAGAGTTTTCCTTCTCCCAAAGCTATAGAACCCAGTCTGTCCAGCTATCTACACATAGCTGAGGGGAAAAGAAGAGGATTCATAGCTTTCTCAAGGGTATTATTATGTAAGTGAATGTATTGGATCCAACTGGAATTTGAACTTGACTCACCAATTCCTCAATCCAAGCTGATATCCATATATATATATAAAAAATGTGTGTGTGTTTTTTCTACCTTTCTTAAATTATAACTTTCCTTCTCCACACACTCATTTTCCTATCTCCTTACCTCACTTTCACAATACTTTATCACTTAATATTACAATGTAAACTTCCTAATCAGAAATAAGAACTCATTCTAGCTCAAAAAGCCTGGAGATCAGCTAAAGATACTACACACTGATCTGAGGTAGCAAAGAACTATAGGCATACATATGAGCACATAGAATAATAGCATAAATCAGAAGGATATGGTACAGATACTACACTCTGATCTAAAGTAGAAAAGTTTATATGCAAAGAGGCAAAATAATACATGTTCATGTTCAGTTCCATATCTTTACTGGTTTGTTACTGCTTGACTATCCTAATTTTTTGATCATAAATTATAAGAATCCCTCAAAAGAAATGTAGAAATGATTAATCAGATGTACATAGAATTTTTATTACTACAAACATTATTTTAGTGGATTTGAATAGAACATCTGTTTCTTTAAAACAGTGTTTATTTCCTCTTTGAGAAAACTTAAAGTAAATGTGTCCTTTGGAACAATTCAAACCTGCATCTCTTCATATTACATGTATTAAGTTTTCTCAAATGTGCAGACTGGTAGATGAAATAAACACTGTTCAACAGATAAGACATTCTGCTCAACTATAAATAACTAAAACTAACATTTCAAGTAGTAAAAATATGTCAGATGAAAATTTAAAAAATCCATTAACCCTTTAGAAATTGCTTAATGTACTTATAATGAATCAGATCTTGCTACTACTTTGTAAAGTTTTCAGAAGTTAATAGTTTTCAGAATGCCTATCATGCAGAGAAGGACAGATCATGTTCAGATTAAGTCTAAGTGAGGTTGAGACAATGGAATTAAGAACTGGCACTTCATTCCGGTCTTTTGTGTTTATATTTCAGAATTCATTAGTGTCTTTTCTTTTCTCAAACTTTATTTGCTTTCTCTTCAATCATTTGAAGTCTGATCACCTTGAAAATCATTCAGCATTTATATTTTGACTGGAAGATTGTCCTTAAAGATGTTTGCCAAAAAAATATTTCACATGATTGCTAAACATTTATCTCTGTTAATCATTCAACATCTGTGTTGGCAAGCTTTTTGTTCTATGACCTTGTGACCTGATCAGGTTCTTGAATTCATCCAAAAAGAAATAAGTCAATACCAGACGTTATTTTAAGATTTTCCTATCTCATAAAAAATGGTAAGTACAAGGTTCAAAAGTAAATAAATATCTACTAAGGTATAATACCTTTAGTACCATAAGATTAAAATACAAGGTGTTCTAAATATCTGTAATGTGAAGTATTTATTCATGACATCACTTCATGAATGAAAATTAGGAAAGGATTACACATCTATTGAAAGCAACTGGGGATGAAGGCCTGGCAACTTGAGAGAGCTGCAGTTCTTTTTCTCTATAATTTGATGTGGAAAGACCTCAAACCTGTGCTTTTAAGCTTTAGTGCTTAATGTGTTACCATAATTTGAAACCAAGAATGTGTTATCCTTCAATTTGAAACTATTAATTTACTTACAGTGGCCCCAGTAAGGTGGTATGTTTAAGATGTTTGCAACAGAATTTAGCATTTATAGTGAAGTAAAAAGTAAATTCTAACCTTGCCAGTCTCGACGAGGTTTGTCAACATAACAAGTTTATTGCAGTTGACTTGCCATAGCATCCTCCAGAAGTCTACAATGATGGCACTGGTAGGGCCTTGTGAGGCAATATATTTTCGTGGCCTGCTGTATCCCTGTAAAACAAGAAAAAATGTTATTTTATCATGAAACAGTAATCAATATCTGGGAGTATTTTGCAATATCAAAATTTAAAGGGAAAAAATTAATTTTTATATACAGTGGAGAGAAACAAATATTTGTACACATACAAACTTTTAATTTATTGTATTTCCAACTAATGAATAAACATCCTCTTTATATAATTAACTGTACACTGATGCATAATAACTAAATATGCATAGAAAACAGAATAAATTCTGATTTATCCATTTTAATGGGTGAAAAAGTATTTGTACAATGCAAATTTCAGATTTTAAAACTTGTAAATTGCTTTAATAATCTAGATTATTCTAGTGGATTATTCGAGAATGTTCCAATAATGTTATCAGTAGTTATTTTTAGCCTAAAAATGCAAACAGAACATTCTGTAATTGATATTTGTGCAAGAAGGTTACCATCATGGCAAGAGGTAAAGAAATGACAAATTTGCAAAAAGAACTAATTGTCAAGCTCTGTAAAGAAGATAAACATTACAGAAAAATCTCAAACAACCTGAATATTCCATTTACGACCATTATTTCATTCATTGCAAGGTATAAAAAACTCAAAACTGTTTAAAACCAAAGAACAGGTGCTCCATGGAAGATTTCTTCAAGATTTTTGAGGAAATTAATGTGTCAAATTAAACAAAATCCAATTGTTACTTGTTAAAAGTTGTAGGATAATTTGCTTTCATCAGTAATCTGTGTCACTAAACAAACAATAAGCAATGAAATTCGTAAGAACAATCTAAAGTCATGCTCCTCTCAGAAAACTCTACTGATACTGAAAAGACACAGAGATGCCAGGGTGAAATTAAGGAAAAAATAAAATTTGTCACAACAAGCCAAAACTTAAAGGAGGAATTTACTCTATCAAATGCAAGGATTGCCAGAAAGAATATATTAGAGAAACCTCAAGAAGTATAAACAAAAGACTATATAAACATAAAAGAGACATTTTAAAAAACAACACATAAAATGCATTGCTTGTTCACCATAACATAACTAACCACAATTTTAACATAAAAATGCTACTCTAGTTAAATGAGAAAATAATTTGCTCAAACATTCTATCATAAATTTTCTTTAAACATAATAATGCAAAAATGAAAATTTAACATAGATGGCACTGTGTGGCCATGTAGACTTGGTTATATTCTTGTATGTTTGTGACTAGTCTGTCTTCAACATTTAATGTGTGTAGTAGTGAGTTAACTGAGAGGTATTCTGTTTAACAATGGTGTGATATTCATATTGTAAGAAGGCAGATATGATTTTTGCATATGGCTATGAGAATGTTAATGGATGTGAGGCTTCATGGCTGTATCAGATTGTGTTTCCAGACCAGAAGTAGTTGAGCCAACCAACCTTTACTGCTGTTTATTGTTGCATTGCTGACACAAGATCCATGGCACCACAAACTATGGATTGAGGAAGACTGAGATCCACTCATATAACTGACCATGAAGAACATCTTCTGCAGGCTGCCAGAGACAATTTAGGTATCACCCCATGTCAAGTGGCCCTAGCATGTCATACATTTCATAGTACTGCATGGAGGGAACTTCAATAGCAGCTCCTGTATCCATGTCATTTGCAATGTGTGCCGGGTCTTTTGCCCTCTGATCACTCACCACAGGAGAAGTTTTGCCAATAGTTTATTGCACAAACTGCTAATCCATTGTTTATCTCTTCAGTCTCATTATGAATGAAGCAACATTTGGAAGAGATGGAATAACAAATTTACACAACCAACATTTGTAGGCAGATCAGAATCCTCATGGTACAATACAGGCTAGACACCAGCATCAGCTTAGGATTAATGTGTAGATTGGAATTTTAGGTGATTGTCAGGTAGGTCCATATGGCATCCCAGCATGTCTTACAGGAGCTGTCTACAGGAACTTTATTTCAAACACACTTCCAGACCTGCTAGAGGATGTACTCCTGCTAATATGAAGACACATGTGGTTCCTGCATGATAGGGCTCCAGTACATTTAAGTCAGATTGTGATGCACTGGCTGACTTTTAAGATGGATAGTCTGAGGTGGACTGATTCCATGGCCTGGACATTCCTCTGATCACAATCCCTTGGAATTTATATGTTAGGCCACCTAAAGCAATCAGTATATGCAGCAGACATTAATAATGCAGAGATGCTTCATCAACAGGGGCCTGCAAAACCATTTGACACTGTGTAGGAATCTTTGAAAAGGTCTGCCAATCAATGATCTGACAAATACATGCAGGTGTAGAATCAAGCAGAGGACATTTTGAACATTTGTTATGAATTGCTGTGTTGAGGTTCAATGAGGCCCTTTTGGATATATACTTATATAGACAATTTAAATTGCTTTAGTGTCACCAAATTTTGTAAAAATATTTTGATACACCTATATATATATATATATATATATATATATATATAAGAAATGAAGTGAAGAGAGAGAAATGTCTAATATATATATATATATATATATATATATATATATATATATATATTGTAAGAAATAGAGTAGAGAGAGAGAAATGTCTTATTTATTATATATATATATATATATATATATATATATATATATATATATATATAAGAATTTATGCACTGTGCCATTAAGATTCCTTGTATCAGAAGTCAAAAGGAATATTCAGTAAGCCTTATTGTATCCATCACAGGTTAAAATGACAGAAAATAGGAAGAAAGGGAAAGACATTTGAATCAATATTCCAATTTGGTAATGTCTTACATTGAAACCAGTTACGAAAATAGGAACTTTTACCTGAATTCAAATGCAAGTCACAGGTGCTGCTAAACAAAATTCCAACTACCTATACCACTGAGTAGGAATCAATATAAATTCAATTATCTGAAAGTTATTCTGCTTACAAAAATCTTTTAGCATTTGGTTATATGAAACTTGTTTTTTTTATCAAAGATTGATGTCAGAACAATTCCCTGAGAAAGAGATATGTTTTCCACTATTCAATTGGAATTTTCTTGTCACAAAGATCAGAAAATATGAAGTAACTTTTAAAGATTGTCAAAGAAAACATTTGAAATATGTTAAAAACAACAAAAGTTAATATTCTTCTATATGCCATATCCCGTCAGGATATTGGTGATCATGGTTCTCCACAATTTCCTGTCCTACTTCTCTATATTATACATGCAATAATGTAAACCTAGAATACCAGAAATTCAGAAAATTATATGTATGACTTGTTTTATATCAATGTATTTTTGGATCATTAAAGATTTACATGAAGTAATTAACAGAGAATGGAAAGTGTGGTGCCGAAATCTGAAGGTACACTGGGATAATGAAAGAGGCCTTCCAAAAGCTAAGCAAAATATTAAAAAATCCAAAAATTTCATTAGAAACAAAGAAAAGGGGACTGAAATCTTACATATCAGTCCTCCCTCATGACAGTGAATACTCATAGATGAAGAAAAGACTTGAAGCAACAGAAATGTGGTTCTATAGAAGGATGCTAAGAATACCATGGTCCAAACATGTGAGCATCAATGAAGTTTTGGAATAAATGAAAACAAAAAGGACACTTATAATTATAAGGAAGAGATAGCTGAAATTTCTAGGGCACATAAAGAGGAGAGAGGGCTTGGAAATTTAAATATTCACAGGGCCTACTGGAAGCAAGAGGGATAGAGGAAAACAATGCATAACCTATCCAGCAAGTGTGAGTAAAGGTATGGCAGAACAGGGTTTAGGAGAAATAGCAAAAAGACTATTTATTAAGAGATAAAAAGGACAAGGAAGTTGTGGAGAATCATTATTGATTACATTCTGAAAGGACACAGCACATGCATAGGTATGCATACACACACACACACACACACACACACATATATATATATATATATATATATATATATATATATGGCATGTGCCATCAGTAATTACTTGGGATAGGCAGTGTGTGAGATTATATAATAAATCTACAAAATATAAAATATTTTGCATGTTGTACATAATAATCAGAGTAACCTTCATAATTTTTGCTGGATTAGGGTGCAGAGAGGTGCCACAGAGAGAAAATGTAGATGTGATCTATTTTATTCAGGGTAGGCACTGCTTACCTTGCCTACCTAGACAGCACATCTCTTATATATATATATATATATATATATATATATATATATATACAGAGAGAGAGAGAGAAAAAAACAATATGTATGTATATGTGAAGAGAGTGTGAAAAATAATGTAACAGACTGTTGCCACTTGGTGTTAATCATCAATGTCTACTTCTAGATTAATAAACCTTCTATAATTGATATTGAGCACTTTTACCCATAAATATACCATACCTTAAAACTATATATACATAAAAGTGGACACTGAGGTTAACTCCCAGTGGAAATAGACTGTTTCATGCTTAAATGCAATTTACAGGTCATGTCTGTTGGACACTGAGGTGTTGTCCACTTTTATATTTACACTTTGATTCCTGATATTGACCACTTTAACCCATAGATATAGCATACCTTAAAACTATATTTTTATCATATAAATTTACATACATAATAAGTATATGACAAACTGGAAAAGGTTTTTTTTGTGATGCATTTCATCATTTAGGATTTTATTGGATGAAACGTGTTACAAAAAAACCTTTCCTGTTTGTCATATTTTTCTAAATACTGTTTGTTGATATATAAAATTATAGCTAATTATATCATATGTATATGATGGATGGTGAAGATTTCCCAATCTGACTCACTTTCTACAGGCTGACCATATGAACAAATGTTCAAATTTTTTGTTCTGAGTCCCAACTTGGTCTGACAGAGAACTTTCCAGTATCCTCTTGTAATACGTATATATTTCTATGTGCTCACATATACTCACATACCTACTTTCTTACAAATGTTTGTGCAACCATACCATGTACAGTTTTCCTTAGATCTTATTATATAGATAAAAAGAACCAACGGAAGCCAATTTTCTAAGTC